CTCTAACCTGACTCCTTATGAAGTGTAATAACTACAAAACCGTTTGTCATTGGCTATAGTTTTGCCTTGTGGATTATAGTGCTTTATTCTTTCCCCTCTAACCTGACTCCTTATGAAGTGTAATAACTACAAAACCGTTTGTCATTGGCTATAGTTTTGCCTTGTGGATTATAGTGCTTTATTCTTTCCCCTCTAACCTGACTCCTTATGAAGTGTAATAACTACAAAACCGTTTGTCATTGGCTATAGTTTTGCCTTGTGGATTATAGTGCTTTATTCTTTCCCCTCTAACCTGACTCCTTATGAAGTGTAATAACTACAAAACCGTTTGTCATTGGCTATAGTTTTGCCTTGTGGATTATAGTGCTTTATTCTTTCCCCTCTAACCTGACTCCTTATGAAGTGTAATAACTACAAAACCGTTTGTCATTGGCTATAGTTTTGCCTTGTGGATTATAGTGCTTTATTCTTTCCCCTCTAACCTGACTCCTTATGAAGTGTAATAACTACAAAACCGTTTGTCATTGGCTATAGTTTTGCCTTGTGGATTATAGTGCTTTATTCTTTCCCCTCTAACCTGACTCCTTATGAAGTGTAATAACTACAAAACCGTTTGTCATTGGCTATAGTTTTGCCTTGTGGATTATAGTGCTTTATTCTTTCCCCTCTAACCTGACTCCTTATGAAGTGTAATAACTACAAAACCGTTTGTCATTGGCTATAGTTTTGCCTTGTGGATTATAGTGCTTTATTCTTTCCCCTCTAACCTGACTCCTTATGAAGTGTAATAACTACAAAACCGTTTGTCATTGGCTATAGTTTTGCCTTGTGGATTATAGTGCTTTATTCTTTCCCCTCTAACCTGACTCCTTATGAAGTGTAATAACTACAAAACCGTTTGTCATTGGCTATAGTTTTGCCTTGTGGATTATAGTGCTTTATTCTTTCCCCTCTAACCTGACTCCTTATGAAGTGTAATAACTACAAAACCGTTTGTCATTGGCTATAGTTTTGCCTTGTGGATTATAGTGCTTTATTCTTTCCCCTCTAACCTGACTCCTTATGAAGTGTAATAACTACAAAACCGTTTGTCATTGGCTATAGTTTTGCCTTGTGGATTATAGTGCTTTATTCTTTCCCCTCTAACCTGACTCCTTATGAAGTGTAATAACTACAAAACCGTTTGTCATTGGCTATAGTTTTGCCTTGTGGATTATAGTGCTTTATTCTTTCCCCTCTAACCTGACTCCTTATGAAGTGTAATAACTACAAAACCGTTTGTCATTGGCTATAGTTTTGCCTTGTGGATTATAGTGCTTTATTCTTTCCCCTCTAACCTGACTCCTTATGAAGTGTAATAACTACAAAACCGTTTGTCATTGGCTATAGTTTTGCCTTGTGGATTATAGTGCTTTATTCTTTCCCCTCTAACCTGACTCCTTATGAAGTGTAATAACTACAAAACCGTTTGTCATTGGCTATAGTTTTGCCTTGTGGATTATAGTGCTTTATTCTTTCCCCTCTAACCTGACTCCTTATGAAGTGTAATAACTACAAAACCGTTTGTCATTGGCTATAGTTTTGCCTTGTGGATTATAGTGCTTTATTCTTTCCCCTCTAACCTGACTCCTTATGAAGTGTAATAACTACAAAACCGTTTGTCATTGGCTATAGTTTTGCCTTGTGGATTATAGTGCTTTATTCTTTCCCCTCTAACCTGACTCCTTATGAAGTGTAATAACTACAAAACCGTTTGTCATTGGCTATAGTTTTGCCTTGTGGATTATAGTGCTTTATTCTTTCCCCTCTAACCTGACTCCTTATGAAGTGTAATAACTACAAAACCGTTTGTCATTGGCTATAGTTTTGCCTTGTGGATTATAGTGCTTTATTCTTTCCCCTCTAACCTGACTCCTTATGAAGTGTAATAACTACAAAACCGTTTGTCATTGGCTATAGTTTTGCCTTGTGGATTATAGTGCTTTATTCTTTCCCCTCTAACCTGACTCCTTATGAAGTGTAATAACTACAAAACCGTTTGTCATTGGCTATAGTTTTGCCTTGTGGATTATAGTGCTTTATTCTTTCCCCTCTAACCTGACTCCTTATGAAGTGTAATAACTACAAAACCGTTTGTCATTGGCTATAGTTTTGCCTTGTGGATTATAGTGCTTTATTCTTTCCCCTCTAACCTGACTCCTTATGAAGTGTAATAACTACAAAACCGTTTGTCATTGGCTATAGTTTTGCCTTGTGGATTATAGTGCTTTATTCTTTCCCCTCTAACCTGACTCCTTATGAAGTGTAATAACTACAAAACCGTTTGTCATTGGCTATAGTTTTGCCTTGTGGATTATAGTGCTTTATTCTTTCCCCTCTAACCTGACTCCTTATGAAGTGTAATAACTACAAAACCGTTTGTCATTGGCTATAGTTTTGCCTTGTGGATTATAGTGCTTTATTCTTTCCCCTCTAACCTGACTCCTTATGAAGTGTAATAACTACAAAACCGTTTGTCATTGGCTATAGTTTTGCCTTGTGGATTATAGTGCTTTATTCTTTCCCCTCTAACCTGACTCCTTATGAAGTGTAATAACTACAAAACCGTTTGTCATTGGCTATAGTTTTGCCTTGTGGATTATAGTGCTTTATTCTTTCCCCTCTAACCTGACTCCTTATGAAGTGTAATAACTACAAAACCGTTTGTCATTGGCTATAGTTTTGCCTTGTGGATTATAGTGCTTTATTCTTTCCCCTCTAACCTGACTCCTTATGAAGTGTAATAACTACAAAACCGTTTGTCATTGGCTATAGTTTTGCCTTGTGGATTATAGTGCTTTATTCTTTCCCCTCTAACCTGACTCCTTATGAAGTGTAATAACTACAAAACCGTTTGTCATTGGCTATAGTTTTGCCTTGTGGATTATAGTGCTTTATTCTTTCCCCTCTAACCTGACTCCTTATGAAGTGTAATAACTACAAAACCGTTTGTCATTGGCTATAGTTTTGCCTTGTGGATTATAGTGCTTTATTCTTTCCCCTCTAACCTGACTCCTTATGAAGTGTAATAACTACAAAACCGTTTGTCATTGGCTATAGTTTTGCCTTGTGGATTATAGTGCTTTATTCTTTCCCCTCTAACCTGACTCCTTATGAAGTGTAATAACTACAAAACCGTTTGTCATTGGCTATAGTTTTGCCTTGTGGATTATAGTGCTTTATTCTTTCCCCTCTAACCTGACTCCTTATGAAGTGTAATAACTACAAAACCGTTTGTCATTGGCTATAGTTTTGCCTTGTGGATTATAGTGCTTTATTCTTTCCCCTCTAACCTGACTCCTTATGAAGTGTAATAACTACAAAACCGTTTGTCATTGGCTATAGTTTTGCCTTGTGGATTATAGTGCTTTATTCTTTCCCCTCTAACCTGACTCCTTATGAAGTGTAATAACTACAAAACCGTTTGTCATTGGCTATAGTTTTGCCTTGTGGATTATAGTGCTTTATTCTTTCCCCTCTAACCTGACTCCTTATGAAGTGTAATAACTACAAAACCGTTTGTCATTGGCTATAGTTTTGCCTTGTGGATTATAGTGCTTTATTCTTTCCCCTCTAACCTGACTCCTTATGAAGTGTAATAACTACAAAACCGTTTGTCATTGGCTATAGTTTTGCCTTGTGGATTATAGTGCTTTATTCTTTCCCCTCTAACCTGACTCCTTATGAAGTGTAATAACTACAAAACCGTTTGTCATTGGCTATAGTTTTGCCTTGTGGATTATAGTGCTTTATTCTTTCCCCTCTAACCTGACTCCTTATGAAGTGTAATAACTACAAAACCGTTTGTCATTGGCTATAGTTTTGCCTTGTGGATTATAGTGCTTTATTCTTTCCCCTCTAACCTGACTCCTTATGAAGTGTAATAACTACAAAACCGTTTGTCATTGGCTATAGTTTTGCCTTGTGGATTATAGTGCTTTATTCTTTCCCCTCTAACCTGACTCCTTATGAAGTGTAATAACTACAAAACCGTTTGTCATTGGCTATAGTTTTGCCTTGTGGATTATAGTGCTTTATTCTTTCCCCTCTAACCTGACTCCTTATGAAGTGTAATAACTACAAAACCGTTTGTCATTGGCTATAGTTTTGCCTTGTGGATTATAGTGCTTTATTCTTTCCCCTCTAACCTGACTCCTTATGAAGTGTAATAACTACAAAACCGTTTGTCATTGGCTATAGTTTTGCCTTGTGGATTATAGTGCTTTATTCTTTCCCCTCTAACCTGACTCCTTATGAAGTGTAATAACTACAAAACCGTTTGTCATTGGCTATAGTTTTGCCTTGTGGATTATAGTGCTTTATTCTTTCCCCTCTAACCTGACTCCTTATGAAGTGTAATAACTACAAAACCGTTTGTCATTGGCTATAGTTTTGCCTTGTGGATTATAGTGCTTTATTCTTTCCCCTCTAACCTGACTCCTTATGAAGTGTAATAACTACAAAACCGTTTGTCATTGGCTATAGTTTTGCCTTGTGGATTATAGTGCTTTATTCTTTCCCCTCTAACCTGACTCCTTATGAAGTGTAATAACTACAAAACCGTTTGTCATTGGCTATAGTTTTGCCTTGTGGATTATAGTGCTTTATTCTTTCCCCTCTAACCTGACTCCTTATGAAGTGTAATAACTACAAAACCGTTTGTCATTGGCTATAGTTTTGCCTTGTGGATTATAGTGCTTTATTCTTTCCCCTCTAACCTGACTCCTTATGAAGTGTAATAACTACAAAACCGTTTGTCATTGGCTATAGTTTTGCCTTGTGGATTATAGTGCTTTATTCTTTCCCCTCTAACCTGACTCCTTATGAAGTGTAATAACTACAAAACCGTTTGTCATTGGCTATAGTTTTGCCTTGTGGATTATAGTGCTTTATTCTTTCCCCTCTAACCTGACTCCTTATGAAGTGTAATAGCTACAATCTATATCTTCTACATGGAGTAGAAACAATGGAGATGGTGGATGGGATGGTGGACGTGGATATGGTGGAAGAGGCCGAGTTAGGGGAAGATGCCGCGGTTTTCTTGGACGTGGAAGAGGCTATGGTGGTATGGAGTGGCAACAAGACTTGGGTGGTTACAATAACTATGGTGGATCAGGGGCACCGTTTGCTCAAGGCCGTGGTAAGTATATTTATATGTTTTTCATTCCAAATATTTCTCTCTACTTAAGTAAAATATGATGGTCAATTAACAATAGTGGCATTGAGAACTTTAATAACCACACTCCAGTGACCTTTGTCATTTTTTTTCCTGAGCTTGTCGAGGGTGGAATTTCTTGTAAGCCGCAGCTGGAATTAGTTGCATACTTTTGTGCATCTTCTAGATTCATTTTTTTTTTTGCCGAAATTACACCCTTAACCTTACTTCTAAATTTGACTTTGATACCTGATCTTATCAGACTTTAAATCTTTTTCCATTTGGTCCTTCTATCAATCTGGACAGGCTCGCTCGAGCGAAGACTTGGTCCACGAGCGACCAGACACAGAGAATCTACGCTCGAGCCAAGGAAGCCTTGCTCGAGCCAACAACCCAAAAGCTCGCTCGAGCGAAAGAAAGCTCGATCGAGCGAAGAACTCAAACCCTCAGGTCTGAAACCAGACTCACGCTCGAGCGAAGGAACTATTGCTCGAGCGAAGAACAAACTAACTCGCTCGAGCGAAGAAAAGCTCGCTCGAGCCAAGAATGCAAAGCTACAGGTCCAACCCAGACGCAAACTCTCGCTCGAGCTACCAAACCCCGGCTCGAGCGAAGAACCAAAACAACATCTCGCTCGAGCGACAAACTCCTCGCTCGAGCGAATAACCAAAATTCTGGACAGCAACACTTGGTTTCTAAACCCAACCAACCTGAACAAACCTGCCCAACACATCCTATAATTCCAAAAGAGAAAATAAGGAACAACAACAACAACAATTATACAATGACAGAATCTACGGAACAGTCCGGATACAATAATCAAATGGGAAAAGACCGGGGTCGCTATACAACACTTCAGGAGAGGCTTCCTGACCATTATGAGGTGTTAGAACAACTTTACCATCCTCCTCAAGTGAAATAGTTTTCTCAATGGTGTTGACAACCTGCAACTCATGACCCACTGTATCTAGCATAACCTGAAAAACAAAAAATATCCTCAAACTCAAATCTTATTTTGCATACTGTTGTTCCATTTGCTTCTTTTGAAAATAAATGAAACTACACAAACTTTATTCGAAACAATTATCATTTAGAACAATCCAACTAAAAACTGAAGCCAAGAACCATCAGTTAAGTTATGTTGCCCAATGCCTAAAGGCCAAAAACAGCATTGTACAACATATTCCAATTCAATTTTCTTTTCAGCAATCAAAAAGATCAGTTTCCTCTCTTCTTTTTTCCCCCTCGGTTTTCTCCGCAACCAAATGGGAATCTACACAAAACTAACCATCATAAAAATTGACAAAAAAATATGATGCAAGTGAAATTAGTAAGCAAACAAAAATACAAAAAACAAAATAGAAGCAAAACACAAAACCACCAGCAAGATAAATCTGAACGCTCATTAAAGCTCCATTTATTTGGGCAAAAAACTGTTTCCAAAACTATTTTCTGATGTTTGGTATAATAAATACGAAAGTCAACAAAAAAATATTCATGGTCAATAAAAAACAAACATGAAAATATTTTTCAATTTTAAAATGCGATAAAAGTTTCTCCGCACTACCACCGCCGCCACCACACCAACATCACTACGGTCACCGCCAACCATCACCGCAGCCGCCACCTTCATCCCACCACCACCAACAAACATAGGAAAAAGTTTTTCGTACAAAACATTTTCCATGCAAACAAACTGAGCATAAATGATTGTAGATCAAGAATGTAACAAACTTCAATTAATAAAAACCCCATATATATAAACACATACAGCACAAAGCTTATTAGTGGTCTTCACAGCAGCCCTCAAGTTTTCCAAAGTCTCTTGGTGATACTCAGGATCCCCCAACGAAAAGTCGAATCGAGCCACTGCAAACCACACATTCACAAATCATTACTCAAATCCCCCAAACTTCAAAGTAAAATCAAAACCCTGTTCCACACAAGATCAAAGATATGCAACAATTGTAACACATAAATACAAATATTTACAGAGAAAATTTATAATACCAGACATTCCAGCTTTAAGGCAACCAAAGATGACCTCAACAGATCGAGACCTGGGGCCCAAAGTCCTAACGATCTTTGTCATTGCGGGAAAGAAATTCTGTGAAATCAATAAACATCGTACAAGTTCCAAATCAAAGTCACAATCATATATATATATACATACACAAAGATGTATAGATCGACATTGAAATTGAGAAGAAGAAAAAAATGGAACTTACGGCTCTAGATGGCTCGAGAATGGAGGCCATCCTGATAGGCTCTTCGAGAAGCAAGTGATTGGCATGCATGTTTGCAGATTGAAACTGTGAAACAACAAAGAAAAATCAAATTATCCCATTTCAATTAGCCATCATCCACATCACTTAAAAAACACAGAACTGAACTCAAACTTACTGAGATTCGAACCGAACAGGGGATTGAACCACGACCTAGATCGCGAAAAACCCTCTTCAAAATCAAAATCATACCGCAAAATCATGACAAACCTCTTCAAAATCATCAATCAGGGCTCAAATCCCTCTCTCCGTACTGATGATCACCGCATTATATATATATATATATATACAGAGACAGAGAGAGACCGAGGCCAAAGGCTAGAGAGGGAGAGAGCGAGAAACAGAGAGAGAGAGACAGACAGACCGAGAGGATGCGGCGGCGGCGGTGGCGGTGGCGCTAGCAGTGGCGTACGACGTTGGTCTGAGATGAGGTGAGATTGGGCGAGGATCTTCTAGAAATGAGGAGTCCATTAGACAGAGGGCGATGGCGATTTCCGGCGGTGGCGATGTGCGACGGACGTGAGCAATGGTGGTGAGGGACTTCGGTGAGCTACATAGAGTGGGCACCGATTGAGAAAGAGAACACAGAGAGAGGGAGAGGGCAGACCAACATAGACACAGAGAGCGGGCTAGATACAAAAGAGATTAGGGCTTTGTTTTCGCTTTGTTTGTTTGTTTGTTTGTTTTTTTTTTTTTTTTTTCTATTTTCCTGGTACAAAACGACGTCGTTTTAAAAATGGCGACCAAATATTTTTGTCGCCAAAAAAATTCAATTCCCGCCTGGACAGACTTTTAAATTTTCCTCTCAAACTTTTGGCGACCAAAAGACCAGATTAGTCGCAGAAAAGGTACCTTCGCCGACAAACTTCTTTAGTCGCCAAATCTTAATCAACGGCGACTAAAATATTTGTTGCTAAAAATACTCATTTCGCGACTAATTTATTTTTGGTCGGCAAAATGTGACATTCCGCGACCAAATTTGTAGTTGGTCACCAAAAGCATACCAATTTTTGCAACTAACTCAAGTTTGGTCGCCAAAATGTGACCTTCTGCGACCAACTCATATTTGGTCGCCAAAAATATTGATCATTCGCGACTAATTAATATTTGGTAGCCAAATGTCATTTTTTTGTGACCAAAATTTTTTTGATCGGCAAAAGTGGTCGGCAAATGTGTGAATTCTTGTAGTGATATGTGTACTATGCGTTCTTTATGTATTTTGAACTATCATGCAAATAGTTCTCTTCATAAATCGATTAATTTCGCAGGACTTGAATAATTGAATTCAACCCAAATTTATCAATAAGAGATCAGTTTCAAGTAATAATAAAAAGTAAATAACAGAAAAAGAGAAAAGCACATTCTATCGCACAGAATAAAATAAAAGAAAAATTTAGAGAAAAATGATACTTGGTCATATTTTTCTTTTCATATAGTAAATAGTAATTTCAGACAATAATAATTTTGCAACTGAATTGTTTAAAATTAATATTAAACTTATAACAGTCAAATAATGAAAGGATTTATTAAATAATAATATTAGTTTTATTAAATTATTCCAATACAAGTTTCGTTTAGATGGCTTAAAACTTTTTCTATCAAACCTTCTAATATAAAGTTGTCAATTTTTTCAAAGTATTATATGGTAATTTGACATCCTCAAATATGATAAAAAAAAATTTCAAAAAAAAAAAAAAACACTCCACCCTATATGTGGTTATTGAATAAACTGATCCATGAGAAATAAACTTGGTAATGTGGTTATTGAAGAAACTGATCTATGAGATGGAAGAATCAAATTTTAGTAAGTGGGAAATAGAATAGAAGTGAGTCAAATAGTTATGAATTCATTTTCATAGACAGTGAGTGTGACGACAAATGTGATTAATTACTTGAGGAACATGCTCAAGGACTAGTAACAGCATCCAAGAGACCAATAGTCTTTACCTCGTAAAATTTTCACTCAAACTTGAGAATGTGTTTGTATCATAAACAATTTTAATACCAACTGAAATGCAACCCAGTCATTATTGTCTTGTAGATCTCCTTCACACATGGGGCGGTGATACCAAAGAAAAACCCACTTGTCCCTTGCCGAAATTGCCAAACAAAACGAAACAAAACAAAACCCCCGGGGGGTGATTACATCAATAATGCTATGGATGGATAGGATTGTAAATGAGTGAAGTTGAGTCTAGCCGAACTTTTGAATGTTCAAGCTCGTTTATTAAGAATTCACCGAGTTCGAGCTCAGCTCGTCAAATATTTGTTGAACTCGAGCTCGCTTGATTACATAAATGAGCTCGAGCTCGAATTCGAGCTTGAAAAAAAATTAAATTTAAATTAATTTACTTATTAAGATAAAAAAATTTAAAATTATGAGTAAAATATATAATAATACTCATATTAATAATAAATTTCATCAATTAAATATGTAAATTCACATAAACACCAAACATAAATAAAATAATAATTGATTATTGAAATTTTATTTAATATATTATTAAAAAATATTAATTAATTTATTTTTATATTCATGAGCCTTGTCGAGCCGAGTTTAGGACTACTCGAACTCGGCTCGATTAATAAACGAGCCTAAAAATCGAACTCGTTCATTTAGTAAATGAGTCGAGCTCAAATGAATTTTAAATGAGCCATGCTTGAGTTGTTCATGAACAGCTCAGTTCATTTGTAACCCTAACTATGAACCAGAACAATTACACCATCAAAGCCACACCCGCCTCACATAATAGACTTTTTGTTGGGAAATAACTTTTTTAATTTTTTAATTAGTTTTAATTTAGTTAAAAAAAATTATTTCGAATGAATTTTTAATTTTTTATTATTTTATGGGAGAAAAAGTGAAATGATTATAATTTGATTATGATTTTAGCTTATTTTGGTTTTGTTTGAAAAGTTGGTTATTTGACTTTTTTGCTATTTTAACCTAACTAAAATAGTTGTATTTGAGAAGATAGTTATTTTTTTGTAATTGATTTGATGATTGTGAGAGAAAAAGTATAATGATTATGGGTTGAATGAAATATTTTGTATTATTGGCTATTTCAACTTATTTTTTCTTTTAGGCCTCGTTTAGCAACTCAATATTTTTAACTTAAAATTCAAAAAATCACTAACAAGCTAACAACCTATATCAAAAAGTCAAACATTCTACTTTCTCTTCACTTTTTGCAAATTTTTTTGTAAAAAAATAAAAAGTTACTCCAAACATATTAATTTTTTTTACCTCATACTTTAGCCAAAAAATAAAAAAAATTACTAAAATAATATGTTCCTAAACGAGACCTTAATACTGTTTTAGCTGAAAAATTCAAAAAATGCCTTGGCCTCTTTTGGGTAAAAGGTTAAAAGTATTCTATCCTTTAGGCCATCTCCAACGGTTCACCAAATCCAACATCAAATTCAAATTTGATGAAAAAAAGCTGCTTTTTGTGCTCCAACGGTTGCACCAAAACAGTATCAAATTGAGAAAACATCAAAGTTTCACCAAACTGAGCACGGCTCGCTTCTTTCACCAATTCGAAGTGCATAGTCGTTAAAGCAAAAATTTGTGAAAATTTTACACATGGTGGTCGACTACCCGGTTGACCAATCGGTCGACCAACTCATGCAAAAATTGGCCTGCGAACTGGTTCAAACAGTTCAAATAGGTAGGTTCAAACAGTTAAAAAAAAAATAGCCTTACCGGTCGACCGACCGGTCGACCAACCGGTTGACCCACGAGATTTTGATGTATCGTTGGAGCAACTGATATCAAATTGAGAAAATGAGCCATTTTTTACTCAAATTTTATGAAAAATACTGAACCGTTAGAGATGCTCTTATGTACCCAAAAAAAAAAAAGAAGAGAGGTTAAAAGTCACTTTTTTGACTTATAACATAATTTATGTCATATCACCTCTCTATTTTTTTACACATTTTTCAAAAAAAAATAAAAAAATTAGCTTTTAATCTATTTTTCAAAACAATCCAAAATGTCATATCAAACTTATAATCATTTCATTTTTTCTTTTATAAACATCACATTCAATTATAAAAAAATCTAACCATCTTCCTAAATATAACTATTTTAACACATTAAAATAATCAAAAATTAAAATAACTTATTAAAATTGTCAACTTTCCGAACACCCCCACTATAGGACTTATTTGAAACTCGGAATATAATTTTTATTTTTTATTTTTTACCAAGAAAATGAAAGCACCATCACGTGTTCTTCAACAAAAAAAATAAAAATAAAAATAAAAATAAAAATAGAAAGTGTTTTTTATTTTTTAACAAAAAAACAAAAAACAAAGAAATGTGCTTTTTATTTTACATGTTTATGTGGAGAATTTTCCAAATATAAATAATAGGACAATGCTTTTAATTTTGGCTTTTAGTATGAGAGTGATTGGAGATTATTTGATCTCAGTGGCACAACTTTTGGCTAGAACTCGCGGATTAAAAGATTTTGATTAATATAAGAACACAAAAAAATAAAAAATTCTTAATTCAACTCTGAAATTTTAGAGGCTTTTTATGACCAAAATATTCTCAAGAGTACATTGTTTAGTTTTGCAATCATTTAAAAGCTTTAAAAAAAAAAATTTAGTAAAATTCTCTTGTTGAGATCTTCGGCCCCAATCAAATAGGGTGAAGTTTACTCTTTCCAAAACAATGAACTTTTTAATTAAGAATTATCGATTGCACAATTGAAAACTAATTACAAAATTTGAAGTATGAGTGTGTTTAGAGCCACTGTGAATTAAGGAAAATTTCTTGCCTATCTAGGAAGTTAAAAATGTTCAATCTTCCAAAGCCACACCAAAATTGAACCATTTATTTTTATTTTGGGTTTGGCTTCTCTGTAGTTTGTGATCGGATCAGAGTGTATTGTTGGGTCCATGGAGACTCATCACGGGTTCTATTTCAATAATTCAAATCGTTAATGTGTAGAACTTATCGAGTACTTTATCCTTGTAAAAAATCACGTTGATTGGATATCGATAGCTACTTGATCAAATCATATTTCTTCCAACGGTAAATATAATTTTCAAAAAAAATTATTGACAAAAATTTGATCTGATCAAGTAGCTATTGATATCCGAACAACGTAATTTTTTTTTATAGAGATAAAATACTTGATGAGCTCTACATATTGAACGATTCAGATTATTGAAACAGAACCTGTGATAGACCCCACAAGTCTAATAGCACCATCTAATCCACTTTTGTGGACAGGAGACAAGCCCTTTTATTTTTACCCACGTGTTCCTTCTTGTTTTGTGGACCTAGAAGTTTCAATTAAGAACTACCAATTG